ACAAAAAATATTATTCAATTTTCTATAGTTATTTTTTCATCCTTTATTAATTCAAACAAAGCAATGTATTACAACAATTTCTTTATTACTTTACTTTCTCATTTTTTAGTTACTCAAACAGGGTAAATATTTTTTTTCCTTTAAAAGCTTTTCTTCTCCTTTATCTTTCTTTGTGTGTCCATTCCTTTAGTAAATTTTGTTACTCTTCACCAAGCATTAGGTATCAGGACATATCTCATTTCTTTCTCTAAAGTTTAGTTCATGACTTTTAAAAGAATTTTTAGTGAAACTTCTGCCTTGTCACTGGTAAAATTCTAATTCTAAATAGATTGACCTCTTTCATCATTTTTTATTTTATTTTATTGTTGAGAGATTTATCTTATCCACTATTTCTATAATAAAACTTATCGACCAATGGGTTCTAGAAAACTAAATAACTAGGTTGTCTTTAGGGGAAAAAAATGCAACACTATTGGTCAAAGGAAACACAGGATGCCAGAAGGTGAGAAGCATGTGCAAATGACTAATTAGGCTGCACTAATTCTGAATTTAACATCTCATAGTAAAAGTTGTCTTAACAACCCAATAATTTAAAAACATAATAAACCCCGACAGCCCCCTCCCCCCCTCAAAAAAAAAAAGGAAATAATGAGGAAAGAAAGAAAAGATCTGATATCTAATAATAATACCATGTTCATCTTGCCTTGCACCAATGAGAAATCCCAGGCAATATAGGAGTTGATTGATTCCACGATCAGTGAAACCTAGGAAATGCATGAACGAGCACTATTCATGTTAGTCTAAGTATTAACATCAGAAGGGAAATCAATTTTAAAAAGAAAAAAAAAGAAAACATTAGAAAAGCTGTTCCAAAAAATAAGTTAAAAAATTCATCAAAGCATTTGAGAGTTTCCGGCTACTTGAAAATAAAGCAGACATCAAATTCAAAAAGAAGAGGAAAGAAATGGAAAATGTTAGAAATTAGTGATTTGACGTCATGGAAGTAAAGCAATTGGAGCTAACAAGTTTATGATCTAGCAGTGCTCCAACTTATCCATCTTAAACAGATGCAGGCCAATTCTTTTAAAGGCTCGTTTACATAGACATGCCGGAATTCTTTTTCCAAAATGATAGCTTAATTCAATTACAAAAGCAGATCACTTGGATGAATTTCTCAGGCAATATACAAACGTACATATATCTAGAGGACAGATGAGTGCAAACCTCATAGTTTCTCCCAGCTGGAATAATTATTTCCCTGTAGTCCTCATTTTTGCTGAAGAAAACAAACTAAATAAGTTCAAACTGGAAATATCTAATAAACTGAAAACATCATGGAAACTTTTTTGAAGCCTACCTTGCTTCCAATGCACCAGCTAACTCTGCCGAAATAAAGAATGGGGAATTTGCAAAAACTTCACTGACAAACAGAAAAGACGCCAATTAACATACCACCTATAAACCTGGCGGAATCAGTGTAAAAAATTTCCCCTCTTAAAATATTAAAATTTTGCATATAGCAATATACATATATTAGGTGCTTTTAACATTAAGAGTGAATGACACCATGGTACTCTTCTCATAGACAACCAGAACTTTTCATTTACTTTTGTAATAGAAATACCCCATAAAGTAGACGTCTCCAGGATTTAGTTAAGGCACTACTAACTTAAGGCATTCAAATATAATTGTTAACTTCTACCAAGGAAAGAAATATGATTATTTATAATGGTACTTTATCATAGATATGCAGAAAGTTTCGTGTACTTCTATAAAATCAGAACCACATAAATTAGATGATGCAGTGTAGGGAAATCCTAAAGCAGACAGATTTCTGTAATAAGATATATTTATGTAATTGTAATGTTTATGTATAATTAAAGGTATTTAGGTTATTTAGGAATTAGTATCTATATGGAATAAGTTTATTATTTTCCGATTTAATTAGGATCCTATTTAGTTATTTTCTACTATAGATTAATTTAATTAATTAGTTTATTTTCCTATCTTAAAGAATTTCTAGATAGACTTAAAACTTCCTATTTTGAATATATTTTGAGTGCATCTATATAAGATTCCCTAACTTATTTACTTGCTAGAACATTCATGATTATTATAAAAAAAAATGAGTTATTAGTTTGATTTTTAGGATCTGAGACGCCTCTATCTCTCTTGTTCTTCATGTCTGCATAATATTCTTCTATGTTCTCCTTCTGAAGTCTTCAACTTTATCCTCATAATTTTCTTTTTTCTCTACTTTGCAGGATAATTGTGATTCTACTATAGTTCTTTTATATCAGTAGATGTTATTGTAGATTTGTTATGGCATTGCTGAAACACCTTCAGCCATTTAAATACAATTTTTTATTTGTACTAAATATATAATAGCTGACAGGGAAAAAAGGTGAGCCAGTTAATCCGTTGTTGGTTTGACTTAATTCATCCGATTCCCAAATACTGAATGATCAAAAGAAGTAATATTCTTAACAGTCAACAGCAAGTTCACAACAGCATCATTATAACCAATAGAATATTAAGTAAACAGTTATGGCAAAGTGCATACCTGATAAATATGAGAAACCTTTCAAACTCAGAGGTGTAGACATGGACTGCTTGTTCCAATATAACTATCTGATCCTTCTTTCTGTTCAGCGAACATAAATAAGTATCATTAACTCTCAAGTCAAATACAATATGTGATAGTTCTTCATAGTCTAAATTCACTCCAGCAAAAGCATCATAAACTGATGCACATGGATTACAAGATATCTTACAATTTGGAAGCTTCGAACCTTCCCCAGACTAGTGAAAGGAAGAGTCGAATCAATAGCACCAGCGTTGTAAGACTGTATAGAGGGGGTCCATAACGTTGCCGTTGCTCTTCCATGGGCCTATATAAGAAGATATCTTCGGTTATTCAACCACAGCTATTGACTAATTGTTACATGATTAACCCCATCTTTTCTACTAAAGACAAGAAATCATGAGCACTTAAAATTGACAGAAATTTACTCCTTTACTATTGTAAAATGAGGAAGTACCCATCATCATCATTTATCTGCCGAATAAAATCCAGTAATACCTGCATTCAGACAAAAAGAAACCAATATATTAACCAATAAAGTCGATAATTTAAGAAGTAAATTTTTCAAGTGCCATTAAGCTTTTTCATAAACTTATGCATCTCAAATGAGCATAGAATTAAACAGAGCACAAAAGAAATCCAGGAGCAGGAAACAGATGGAGACAAGGCATAAATAGCAAGGCGAGAGGACACGAAGCATAGACCAAATTATAATATTGACTGGCAGACCCAATTCGGCCAGTAAAGGGCTTCCACAAAAGAAAAAATGAAAGGCGCCAATAAGCTACCTCTGGAACTCCCACCAAGTACTTTACAAGGGTTTTGTAGACACCTGTTGCAGAACCAAGCTGAGCTAATTGTCTCCTCCTGATACATCAATCAACAGTTATATTGGAAGATATATACAGACTACTCAACTGAAAAAATAGAACCAAAATGTCTCACCTATCCATTTGTTGTTTCCATAACAGAGCATATCGATCACGTATGCTTCCGCCAGAATTAACCAAAGAATCAACCTCCGCTTGCTTATTCCTCTCTGATCTCTCCCTTTGTTGTCTAATAAGGGTTCCCCGGAAATCTTGAGGCATGTATGTCATAACTGTTAATATTTCACAAAATCTAATCAATAACTAAACAGAAGCATGCGAGATAGAATTTCTCTTGCAGATAATAGCAGCAGCCTGGTCAAATAGCCAGATTTTTTCCCCAAATAAAAAGGGCTAAAACAGCACTTTGTAATTTGACAGAACTGTTTATCGATTAGCATACTACTAAGGTGCTTTGGTCGTAAGCACTGTGATGTGAGCATGGCCAATCCGAGAGACATCGTGAAAATCCAAGCAGCGACTCGTCCCAAACAGGCAAGCAGTTCTAGCATTTTGTTGTTTCCTAAAGGGGATCGTCTCAAACGGGAAAGTGAATCCAAGTTTCCTAAACTAAAAGAGGAAAGTAGCCATGCTCTTAAACATTTTCCTAAATGGGATTATTCTAAATAATCGGCCAAGGTTGTTCAAAGCACGCCTAAATCCCAAGTGATGCTTCATGGGGTTGAAGAATTACAAGGTGAAGTGGAGGGACAAATTTTAGCCCAACCTGAGAAGAGAGCAAGGCCGAACGGCCTAGAGGAGTTGCGGGCATCACATGGCACGCATGTGAACCTCCTTGTTCGCATGTGCGGGCAGCCACATATGCGGGAAAGCACATCCACACCCGCAGAATCCTTTCCCGTGTGAAAGACACGCTGCAGCGCGCAGGAGGGCCTTCACTGCATGCAAGGAAGCGCGTGCTTGTGCGGATGCACACACGGACAGCCGCACGCATGGGAAGAAGTTTCACCCGCATGGATGAAGCATGCGGCAGTAAACGTTTCCGATAGGGATTCTACCTTTTCCAATTTTCTACATGTGATTTTTGTGGTAGATTTTTCAAGGAGAATTCTTCATCAATTTGATCTCTCCATGGAGTTCAAAGGCACATGGAAAATATGGTAAAGGACGGGAGAAGCATCTATTAAATATGTTTAATTAATAATTTATCGTTAATTCTTATCCTTAAGATTATTTTATTATTATTTTGGGACTTAAATTAGAATAGATTATTTTAATTAATATTTTTTTTGTTTCCTAGTTTAATTAAGTTTAAGAATTGAAGTAGAAATATGTCATCCTACTTCTACTCGTATTAAAAAATTGAAGTCTATAAAAAGACTTGACCATTAGACATGTAATCACAACTTACCAACTTCAATATTTCAGATTGGAATAAAAGGATCAAGTTTTTGCTTGCTTATTAAAAGTTATCTTTGCTAATTTTTGTGAGTGGTCTTCAAGCATTTTTAAGTTAGGGAGCTTCAAACTGCTTTGTTGAGTCAATGATTCATAATTGACTTATCGGGTAAGCCATAGCGTTTTTTCTATTTCTTTTATTTTTTCAAGTTACCTTGATTTGTAATCAAGTTTATCGGTTGTGATTCAAGTAGGGAGGATAAATTAGGTGGTTAAACTTTCTGGTTGTTACGTTGTGCTAGGTTCCGGAAGTCAAAACAATTCTTCTCCATCCCTCCGGCATCAGACTGTACGCCTCAAGATGATCCCTTTTTCTATAATAAAATTCTCAGATAAAATCCCCACTTTTGCTTGACGGATGACTCCTCTCCACGATCAATTTGCTTCTTGGTGGTCTAATCTCATCTTTCCCATGCAAGAGCT